CAGAGGATTTTCACTTTGTTTTTTTCATCTCCATTTTACCAAGAGATGCTGAAACAAAACCATCCCAGATTCATGTGATGAAAAGGGCCTGGAAAGGGGTCGATGGCCAGCAGTAGGGAGATCAGCTGCTGAGATGTTGGGGGAAAACATTTTGTAGCAGCCATTTCCCTATTTCCTCATGTTGCATGTGGGTAGTAAAACACTTCACTGGGGACAGGAGAGAGGATCCTTTTGGTGATTTTACTCTTTTTGTATAGGTGGAAATAACTACCAAAATGCACAGGGGCAGAAGGGCAGGTTCAAATCTATGTGAAATAAATGTCACCACTGGTAGCGGTGTGTCTATGATATAGTTCAGGAATTTAGAAGACACCAGGAGAAATTTCCCCTTCCAAGTAGGTCCATTGTGGATAGCATTATAAATCAACAAACAAAAGGGATAAGGATGAGTTTTCTGTAGAGGACAGTGAAGCGACAAATAAGAAAGTGCAGCAGGTTTTTGGTCAGAAATTTTTTTGCATTTATTTGATTACCTTTAACTGAACCTGGAAAGCTTTGATGGGCAAACTGGCCTGACAAGGCATTTCAGGTTCTACACTGATGGCAAAAGGACAGCATAGCACTATTGGGAAAGATGGCAAGGAAACACAGAAAGGTGCTATAAAATTGAGAGTTAAATAGATTTTTGACCAGTGAGGCTGCCCTAGTACGGCAGATTTCAAGGCTCCATCTCAGCCTGAATGAGAGTTACTGCACTAGGACAGCAGCGAAACGAGACTGGCAATTATCACTGGCGCTTTTACAAGTCAGGAGCTTACAGGGCTCATGTGATACCAAGTGCTCGTTCTGCACTGAGCAGTTCTCCTGGAAGCCTTGGCTTTGTTTTCGCTTAGTCCTGAGAACAAAAAAGAAATGTTGCAAGGAAAGTGCAGAATGAATCCAAAAAGAATAATGGAATTGTGCTTGATTTGTTTAATTCTGAAATCAAGGTCACTTAGAAGTACTACAGCTTTTATTTGTTTTATTGGGTTTTTTTCTTAAGGATTTTTTTTTTTTTTTGCAACATCTTTCTTTTCATTTGACGGTTCTGTCATCCCAGAACTGTATAGGTTACTGATCCTTCCTGTATTCAAAGCTGTTATTAAGTGGAGTCTTTTAGATTTTAGAGAAATGATAATGGTTCCAAAGATGACAGAAAGTGGCAGCTGGTGACAAAAAACCCCCTTGATAAGACGACAACAGTAAATCAAACTACTGCCACTTTTTCGTTTCATGTTTGTTAATACCACCTCGCCTTTTGAAGTTTAAAGCAAGGTTCAAAAGAGCCAGGTGCTGAATCATAATATTAAAGCAAGTAAGGAGCTCCATGAAAGAGAGGAGATCTGAGAGGGGAAAGCAACAAACACGGCTTTCAACTGCCTTTTGTCGGCCTTTCTGCAGATGTCACCAGTTGTTATCCCCAGCAGAGGCTTCAAGCTTGTAGCAGTGCCTCTGGCTGATTCCAACTCAACGTTTCAAGTGTCAATCAAAAAGGAAGGACGCAGCTTAGGTCCTGGTCATTGTCCTGTGAAAAGAGCCAAGCATTTAACATTGATTTAGCTCCCTCAATATACAAAGATAGAGCCAGCTTTGTGCAGCAAAAGGGCCTTTGGCAAGGTTGCTTGTAGAGCAATTCCATCGCATCCGATGCTCCTTGGTTTAGCTGTCACACTGCAGTGTCTGGAGTCCTATGAAAAGTTATTCAGGAATGAGTGAGCAAATTAAAAAGAAATAACATGCTCTCCTAAATAGCAATGCAAGCTATAGAAAGTGCTTTTAGCGTCATATAGCCCTGAAAAGCATTTTTAATAAAAGTATTTTGTGTTTTTAAATGCCTTTTAACAAGGAGAATAAGATGTTTCAGACAAGAGGGGGCCCTTGTGAAACCCATCTCCATTGGATTGGATAAACAATTGTACCCACAGTGTCTTGGTCAAGGGCTTTCTTATTTTGTTTTCAAGCCACTTACATTCACTACTATCCATCCACATACTGCATTATCCTTCCATAAAGGGGTAAAAAATGCTCCCAAACCCAACAATGACAAAAAAGCCCAGCCTAAATGCCACAAATGCTCCCAATTCCAACCTTCCTATCCTTTCTCATGTCAAATTCCTGCTTGCATCTCTCATAATTTTCTTGAAAACTCTCATAATTTTCCGAGAACACCTTGGCAATTATTTCTTTCTCAGCCATTGCACTCCCCACCAGATCTCACAGGCACCACCAATGAGCCACACTGGAAACTTAACATAATCATGGAAATGACAAATCAGTCAGTGGCTGCACTTGGACCGTTTTGGCACTTAATGGTGGGCATTAGATTCTCACAGATGCGGTAGAAACCACATCTTTGTCCTTAAAAAAAAACAAAGTAAAACTGAGTGAAACACAATAAAGTATTCCTGTTATTTTAAAGAAAGTGAACATGGATAGGTTTACCCTTTGTACCTGGAAATGATGTTAAATTTGTGAGAAAAAAATAAATTACTGTCACTTTGCTTATAAGTGTGGTTCTACCTTATGGAGTTTCCAGCATTTTTTCATTCAAGTTTAGTGCACCAGTGGACTGACTGAGGAGTGGGCTGACCTGGTATCCCAGGGTCAACAGTCTTGGTCCGACAAAATTCTTGTGCTTGCAGCACAAGTTTAAAGATGGGGAAATGTTCCCCTTTTGCAGAATCAGCATTGCTACTATTTCCTGATTCGCACAATAACTATTTTTTCCCCAATATTCTCATCTTCATCTGTGCAGAAATACAGATTAAGAAAATGCTGAAGCTGTCATGAGAAATAGAACATTTCCACAATGGGGATAGTTTTTCAGAAACTTGTTTCCCTCCTTAAAGGCTAGTTTTCTGGTAATACCTTCCCAAATCAGAATCACATTGACCATTGTTACTTCTCATCTCCAGGGAAACAGTGCAATCCCTGAAACTAGCCATGCATGGTGATGGTTTTGCTAAATGTGGGACTGGGTTACTCCTGATGAACCTCCAAGGAGTCTCGTTCCTGCAGACCACTCACGCAGCTTGTGTTATCTGCAGTTTAGAAATACTCAAATAGAGGACCTCACAGGAATCGGGTGTATTTTTAAATCCATGTATCATTACAGACACACTCATTTCTGCATTCCCCTAAAGACATTTCTAACAGTCCCAATAGCCGGCACTCCAGCAGGCAGTTTAAGAAAGCATGAGAACTTAGTTCAGGGACTCACACACTTCTCTAAACTTTCATTGGGATTTTTAAACACAGTCAACTTGCTCTAGCTCACACCCTTTCTTTTGCACTCCCTCACAGAAAATACCTGTTAGCTTTGCAACAGTGTAACAGTGAGGGCAACGCACTTCTGCACGAGGCACTTGGTCCTACAAGCTTCTATTTTCCCTCAACCAGAAAGTGAGCCCCTCCCTCCATAGGCTTTCTCAAAGGAGCAAGGGAATGGGAGATGTTTGCTTCTCCATACTCCCTGTGTGCCAGCATGCTGTTCTTCTCCCAGTGCAGGGGCAGTATGTAGAGATGCTGTACACAGGGATGCTGTACACAGGGATGCTGTACACAGGGATGCTGTGTCCCCCTACCCTGGTGCTGGTGGAGTTTCTGCCTGGCCCCCTCAGTGCAGCAGAGTGCCTGTCTGTCCAGCAGCATGTGCCATATCAGGTGTCTGCCTGACATAATTTGTCCTTTTCCCAAGCATTAGGAAAAGCAGGAGACAGATAGTGACTTCTTGAGTGGTTGCACTGGTCATCCCAGAATATTCCACAGGTAGCCCAACAAACACTTTGGATTAGGGATCAACAAGATATCAGAGAACACAAATCAGCAATAAGCAAGAAAGCTCAAATTTTGGTTGCATTTTTCTAAAAGGCAACAACCTGCAGAATTTTTTTTTGTGCTACTAGTTAACAGTGACAGCAGTAATAATTTCAAAAGAGGATTTCATTGTCATCTTTAGAACTTCCTTGGAAAATAGTTCTAGGAGAGGGAAATCACATAAAAGTAGAAATGGAAGCATGTGCACATGGGTGGGGGGGTGGAGGATGTGAGAGTGTGTGTGCGCAAGAGGGAGAGAGGAAACCAAAGGCAAAAACAAGCATTATAAAGCAAAACTAGGAAATCAAGTGCTTCAGTAACCCCCCCGAAAAAAGCACTAAAGGTCAAATTTTTTTACCAGCTTGCCAGCATGAGAAACACACAGTTAAGGTATGGAGACAGTTTTACCATTTCATCACAGTAAAATAATGAGTAAGAAAACAAGGGTTAAAAAAATGAAGCAAGTGTCAGCTTGAACTAAGTTTTGGTCATGATCACCAAAATGTATCACTCACAACTGTGAGGTAATACAGCTAGGGAAACAGGGTACAATTATCATTTGATATTGGTAGGCTAATCTATCCAGGATATTTTTTTATCCTTGCAGTCCTTGGCTTCCAGTGTATGCTTCTCATTGTGGTTTCCCGGTAGCACATCTCTCTTCCTTGCAGTTCTGGGCCAAAATCAGGGTTAGATTATGCAAATACAGCTTCCCTGAGGGTGCCAGATAGCCCTGGTCTGCTCAAGGACAAGATCTGATGGACCACAGCAGGTGAATGGCTAGTGAAGGCCTGGTGATACACTCCTGAAAACACCTTTGTTTAACCATTCTTGACCCTTCAGGAACCAAAAAATCTCTTCAACAGCGTTGCTGCCTTGTTTGCTATTTTGCCATGTGACCAAGCTTTTATTTCACTCCCCACCCACAATAGCTCATTTCTCTTATGCCTCCTCAACCTGTTCACTCCCAGCCCTCCTTTTCTTGATGTGGACATGTTTTTAAAGATCATATATGTGAATCATTCATTCTCATTGCAGGTCAAAGCAAAATGAATGACAGGAGTCATTTTCTATGAGCAAGTAGGCATAAGTACATTGCAAACCAGTTTCAAAACTTTTTGAACAGCAGTGTCACATACCATTTCCTCAGAGGTCATGAGCTAATGCATTTGCATTCTTCAGTATTGTGAGCATAATGTTTCTGGTTGCCATTGTATCTGTTGGAAATAATGGCTTCTGGTCACCAGCAGTAGATGCAAACAGACTATATCACAGCAACTTTACTAATACATAAACTATTGTATATCCAGATGCTCCTGCCTTATCCGTAAGGAGTAATTGCTTAAGTGTTCCCTTGGAAAAAAGTGCCACAGTCCTGGGAGTGTCAGGGATGTAACATTTACAAATAAATGAATAATTTCATTTCTGTAAGGTTGTAATTTTTCTATTATAATTACAAAATATCATCTTGCTTAAATGCATGTTGCTACCATTGCTAAGGGCTATGTCACAGAGAAATTACGATTAGTCTGCTTTTATTCTGGCCAGTGGAACTCTGTATTTGCACTGCTTCTTCATTAGCAAAACCTCAGTGTACATAGTCCATGGGGAGCTCTTTCATTCATCTTTCCCACTCAAAACCCCTTTCCAGTCTAGTGATTTTCATACAACTTCATTGATGGCAGACTGCAAAATCTACAGGCATTGCCCTCTTCTTAATTTGTCAGGCAAGAGGTTTGCGATGATGTCTCCAGCCAACATTTTCCAGATTTGGTGGGACTACAGGAAGTATCAGTACATTGTTTTACAACTATTTTCAGTGCATCCAATGACAATTATATCTCAAATTCGGATGTTGTTTTCAGAGCTACCAGGAGTCCTCAATCGCAGCTTGAACCATCTTCATAATTAAAAATACAAGTGCTCCAAAATCAATAATCAAACCTGGAGGGATGATGGACTCCTCTGACTGCTCTGCCCACTTACTAAATATGTCTCAGTGGCAGGGCCGTTTCTCAAAGCAATGAGCCTCCAGCTTCAGACACCTGCTCTAATTCAGTACCAGGGCAAAAAAAACCAAGACAATTTTTCCAGGACCATTTCCATTTATTTATTACAACATAAAAGTAAATGAAATACCAAAGAAGAGGTGTATATTCACTAGGGAGGATAGATGCCAAACCCAAAGAGTGGGTGTCTAACACCCACCTAACTGGGGATGGGATATCATGCCACAGGCACTGAAAAGCTGATTGAAGGATTCTTGGGAAATCTCTAGTCCAACTCCCCACCGAGAGTGAGTCTCACTAGCTTTTGCAGTCTTTGAAATCATATCCATTTTCACTGTCCTTCTGCCTACTGACATGCTGCCACCTGTACATTACCCTTCCATTCCTCACTGACTACTTACGTCATTGCTCATGCAAGTAACCATGACTTTAAACAAGCTTACAGCTCCTAAGTGCAATAAACATGGGTAGACAAACTCCTCAGAGCTAACATGGTTCTGCTCAACCTTTATATATCACAGAATCACAGAATATGCTGAGTTGGAAGGAACCCACAAGGATCATCAAGTCCAATCCTTAGCCCTGCACAGGACCATCCTCAAGAGTCACACCATGTGTCTGAGAGTATTGTCCAAGTGCTTCTTGAACTCTGTCAGGCTTGGTGCTGTGACCACTTCCTTGGGGAGCCTGTTCCAGTGCCCAGCTACCCTCTGAGTGAAGAACCTTTTTCTAATATCCAACCTAAACCTTCCCTGACACAACTTCAGGCCATTCCCTTGGGTCCTGTCACTGGTCATCAGAGAGAAGAGATCAATTTCTGCCCCTCCTCTTCCCCTTATGAAGAAGTTGTAACTGCAGTGAGGTCTGCCCTCAGTCTCCTCTTCTCCAGACTGAATAGGCCAAATGACCTCAGCCACTCCTCATATGGCTTCCCCTCAAGGCCCTTCACCATCTTTGCTGTTCTCCTCTGGACACTCTCTAATAATTTAATGTCTTTCTTATGTTGTGGTGCCCAAAACTGCCACAATATTCAAGGTGAGGCTGCCCCAGTGCAGAGCAGAGCGGGACAATCACCTCCCTTGACCGGCTGGCAATGCTTTGCCTGATGCCCCTCAGGACAAGGTTGGCCCTCCTGGCTGCCAGGGTACTGCTGACTCATATTCACCTTACCATCAACCAGGACCCCCAGGTTCCTTTCCGCGGCACTGCTTTCCAGCATCTCATTCTCTAACCTGTACGAGCCTCCAGGCTTGTCCCATCCCAGGTGCAGAATCCAGTATTTTCTTTCAGTAGGTGATTGCCTAGTCCTCTGATTTGTTGAGGTCTCTCTGTAGAGCCTCCCAGTTTTGTGTTATCTGCAAACTTGCTTCATATCCCTTCCAGTCCTGCATCCAAGTCACTTATGAAGATGCTGAAGAGCACAGGGCCCAAGATGGAGTCCTGTGGAACCCCACTAGTGACAGGTCACCGGTCTGATGTTACCCCATTCACTATTACCCTTTGTGCTTGATCCATGAGGCAACTGCTCACCCACTGCATGATGTGTTTGTGGTGTGCTGTATGACATTCCCCCTGCCCAGAAACCACCAACGCTGGACTGGGGCTCTCCTGTTGCTAGTCATAAGGTTGAGATTCATCTCTATTCTGGACTTTGTACCTTTAAGGTTCAGGGCTGGTTGAGTTTTTGTTATTTTGGTTTTTAATTTCTCTAGAATCACAATTATAAAAAAACTTTTCTAAATATATGAGTGAATAAAAGTTACACTTTCAAGATGTTCTTAGATATGCAGAGGGAAACCTTTAGGAAAAGCACTAGATGCCCACTAATCTTTAAAGTGCACCTAAGGCTGTAACTGAAGTGGCATATCTGTGTCATGGAAAAGTACATGTACATATAATCTTAGTAATACATATATGAAGAAAGCCATGCATGCATGTTATCGCAGATCAGATGTTAACACCGCTTTTTAAAAATATTGATCAAGAAAAATAAAGTTGATATTTAACATGTCATTAATGTATCAAAATATTTTCTGTTAAAGTAACACTAATAATTAACATTAAAAGTTTCTTAAATATAATTATTGTATGCCTTAATCAACTTGATTTTAGCCTCTCTCCCCTTTTTTATTTTTATTCAAGCTCCTGATAGTCAAAGTTTTCTCTGCAAGTGAAAGCTGATGCAAGATGGCACAGGCTACATTATGCCAGGATGTGTCTGACTGTATGATAGTCACATCTACAGGAGCAGCAAACTAGCTCAATCACTGGCATTACTAGTTCAGTTCAGCTGAGGATCTGGCCCCTACTGTGTTTATTATTAGATGGAATGGATGAGAATATATTCATTTTCTGCTGAACTCTTTGATGGCCTTGCTCTTTCTTCCTTTCTTTCCATTTCTCATACCCCATCCAAAATTTGTGCTGCATAAATTCAATGTCCCTCTTGCTTTCTTTCACTTGAATCTCAATTGCAAAGCCAACCAGATTTCATCATGGCTTATATGCTCTTCCACTTGCTATCTGTAATCACAGTAATTGTGAAACTCAAAGCTAAGTCAAGAATTGTTGCCTTTTTATGGCTCCCTCTTTTATATATGTTGTGTTGGAGAGCGGTTGTTACCGCTTTTTTGTCATTATTTCTGGGCTTCACTCCATTAGCTAGTGAACAGGCCTTCTCTCATTGCCTTCCTTCAGTAAATACTGTAACATTCAACTTCCTTTCAGGCTTGTGCTTTTAAAGAAAATCTTTGTACAATTAAAGATATGAAATTGCTAAATACAAGGCTGCATTCATTGTTCTCCCTTTTTAAAGGTTTAATCACACTTAATGGCTCTCTTGAAAACTTGAATTTTCCATATTGATGGTTTTACCCCACTGAAAGAGTTTACTAATATACTTTTCAAGTGTTTTCTCCTTAAATGAGCTATTCAAGAAGTTTTGTGCAGAATAAGATTGACGAAGGATATATCCAGAAACAATTATGAAAAGTGTCCAGGGCTATCTGTTTATCCATTGGCAGAGTTCAAGAAGCAGCCAGAAATAGAAGAGAGGCTTTGGAGGAAACATCTTGAAATATCTCGTGTTCCTCCTTTTGGGCCAGTTTCAGAGCAACTGTTGCTCCATATTGAACCCTTCCAAAATGCAGCCTCTGATTGTCACGGGTGAGGACTGGGCTGAGTACTTATCCCAAAGAGATGGTAAGTTTGGTCCTGCCTGTCTTGTCTTGTTCTAAACCCCAATCACCACTACATTCTCTAAGAGCATCTCTCTGAGGAGCTGGTAGCTGCAGTGCTGCATGCTCAGGGCTGGAGAGATGTTGTTATAAAAAAGGTAAGTGTACACCTTTACTCAGTCCTTGGTAATCAATTTTCTGTCTGTGACTGAGCAGCTGAAAGTATGTAGCCACTCCTAGGAGATACAGATTGGCCACCTGTGCACTGTTTGACTTTGAAGCTTTGCTGTGGCAGTTTATCACATCTAGTAATGAAGCCACAAGCCCTGTGGAAGCTCTAGAAACTTCCAAATACATCAATCCATTTACTCAGAGGCACAAATTCCTTCGGTTTGACCAGTGTTTCTGTCCTGATAGTCAAAGCCATTCAGGGTATTGGACTTTGCTTCCTGAGATACCACATCTCCTTCCACCAACACGACCTCCCATGACATTTGATGGGAACAATCTGGACTGGGAACCAACAGGGGAATTTTGTGAGCTTATGCAACGAAATTCTCTCAGCCCTCTCACAGTTAGACTCCATTATTTGCTTTTATGCTTTCAGACAGTCATTGATCTCAATATATTCAGAAATAAATATTCATTCCTTTGTGGAATACCTGTTTTCCTCAAAAGGCTTCAAACAAACCTGGAGATTCCCAGTTGCACTCACACATGAAACCTTACACAGAACAAGGGCAAACATTACGGGAAATCTTACAAACTACAGGAGAAGTAGGGAGGCAGAGAACAAAATAATCTCTGCTATTTTATTTATATGCTTAAATAATTGGCAGGCACTCAGCTACTTTAGTAATGGGGTCCATATAAGTAGGTAGGTGCAGGTTTAGTGAGATGAAGATTATAAATTAAATGTAGTAGGAGTAATATTTCATCTGTCTGTCTCAGGGCTGATACCATAACGTAAATCCTGAGATACTTTAGATTAGATATATGTGATATGCCAATCTCCACTTAAATATTTTGGAG